TTTCATCATTATTAGTCTATGTTAAATAAGATGCCGCACATGCATAGTTTAATATTATTTCAAAAACTGCAATACACAAAGCATTGATAACGAATCGAAATGTCTCCACAAAGTTAAAAAAGGTGTAAACCTCTTAAGGCATGACCGATTCAAATGTATCCAACATTCTTTGTAAACAGTCATTTATTATTTGAGCAGCAATTCGAACAGCAACATCTTGTACGAACAAAATGTATGTCCCTTAAACACCTCTCCTTTTACCTTGCTTTTTACATTTGTGCTATAAATGAAGGTTTCTTTTAAAAAGCTGATTTGTGGATGCTTGTAAGTGCAGTGATTAAACATCCTATTCCTGTCTGTTTCTATCTATCTCAGTGCACCACTTCAACCTTGGGAGGCGGGTCCCGGGCTTCGACTACGGCCCAGATGCTTTCGGCACCGGCCTCACCCCCCTGCATCTGTCCGATGATGGAGAGGGCGGCGCTTTCCATTTCCAAGAGCCTCCTCCTCCGTACGCAGCTTACAAATACCCCGACATCCAGCACCCAGACGACCCCCCCCCCTCCGTACGAAGCCTCCATCAACCCAGACAGCCTCCTCTACGTCGACCTTGGTAGGCGCAGATCCTTTTAGCAACCCCCCACTTTGAATGGTCTTTATCATTTACCTACCTTTATATTGTTTTATTTATTTTATAGGGCTTAATCTTTTTGTTTTTATTTCTGTTGTACCTATATGTTCACTTTGTTTTATGGGGTTTTATATTTTATATTGTTGCATCGACTCAGTTGTCTTGTGTCTTATCTGTCAGAGAGAAACAATTATTAATTTTATTTTATTTGTATTATCATACATTTGACCTCCTTGAGTCTATTAACCTGATCAAATGTTATATTTTGCTGCATGTACCTTTTAAAGTTCTTAACAAATAATCTGAGGGGAATTTCTTGTTTGTTTTTAACTTTGTAAAGCAAGCTGCATGTGTTGTATGAAAAGTGCTATATAAATAAAGCTTTATTATTATTATTTGATTCATGCCTCTCAAACACAGAGTTGGGCTCTTGTCTTCATTTCCTTTCTCTTGGTGCAGGACGCAGCCGGGTTTCCATGGTACCGAGCCAGATGAACACCATGGGAAACGGGCTCCAGGCGGATATCCCCAACGCTCCTGTCCCTGTGCCAGAATCAGCGCCGTCCGGTCAGGAGAGGGAGGACTCCATAGATAGCAGCACCCTCCTGGTGGGGCCCGACACCCCCACAGACAGCCAGGGGCGCGCAGACTGCGTCTCCTCCCTCAGCACCGTGGTATAGGACCCTGGACGGACATTTCCTGCTGGTCGAGGAAGGTCATGAGGGTGTTCCTCACTGGGAGAGGACGTTTTTTTTAAAAGCTGACTGCAGGGAGGAGAGTTAAAGTTTGTACAGACGTCTTGGATCAGCTCCTTTTACTTTGAGGTGCGAGGATGCCCTCTTTTTGAAGACTCTTCTGCAGTTTGCCTTCAAAGTGTATTATTATTTTGTTGAAACACTGAGGCAGCAGAGAGGCCTGTTTCTGTACAGAGACAAAAACACTTCATAGAGGCCGAGAAGGCTCCACTTTTACTTTAAGCGACGACTGAGCTAAGCTTTTGAAACATCTCAGAGAAGCCGTGATGTAAATACCCCGTCAGGTCTGCGCCGCTCAGATTTGTTATACTTGTGTGTGTCACAGTCCAGCACAAGCTTAAGAGTGACAGAGAAGCCAGCTAATGTTCCTTCTGCGTTTCAGTTGACATCTTACAGACGTATTTGTGTTGATCTGTCGCTCTCCAGACTACAATAATGTTCCCATCAGCCCCGTCTGCCGCGGCAGATCTCGATTTCTACTCGCTCTATAGGAAACCTACTCTCTCCTCACGTTCTTATTAGTCTGATACATGAAGCTGTCTTCCAGGTTTATAGCACATATTTGCAGCAACAGTTTTGTAATCCAGAGGTTTAAACGTTCCAGAAAGTACAGTTAGTTTCCAGCTATATGAGGTTTTTATTAGGAGACGCTCACACAAGGCGTAATGTATCAAGGAATGTCGTGGTACTGATAATTATGAGTTGTTGTGTTTATTTTGTTGATAAATTATGACGGCAGGCTGTAAAATTGATTGTTTTATTGTGGGTTAGACGCAGTCTGAGCTCCCCACTGATCAGTCCGCAGCGACGAAGCTTTTCAAGTATCCGTGTGAAGATTAGGGATGATTTCCCAGCGTTACATTTAAGAATCAATTTATTTAAGATAACTGTCGCAATCATCAAGTGGTTGAATCATGCAGAGGTCCCGTTGTGTTTCCTTTATCATCATCTCTTCGCAGCATAGTTGTGTATTTGCTAACTGAACCATGTTTAGTGATTCAAAGCTCAATGTTTTGCACGCTCACCCCTCAATTTAATCAGGGTTTTTGTTTTGTTTTGGCAAAGAAATGTGTTGGTTGTCACATTTGGATGCTGCCCCTCCATTCCTGATGTGTTTGTACGTGTGGTTCTTCAACATCTCACTCATTGAGGATGTTTCCAGCTCCTGACGAAGATCACTGCTCTGAGTCCTTTCTGTTTGGTGTAGATGGGTCTGTTACCGTCCTTGTTTCTCAGTGGGATCGCAGTTTAAAAAAAAAAAAAGTTGTAATAAAAGAAAATCTCGTATATTTGGAACTTGTTAGACCCCTTTTATGACGACAATCGTTTGATTCACTCAAGGATGAATTTTACAAAGCCTAAAGTTAGATCAGACCCACAACCAGCAGCATTCAAACCACTTTAGATCTGCCTCATGAAGAACACCAGCTGTAATGTTTGTGTGTGTGAATGACCGTCTGTGTGTGTGTGGATGTCTGTATAAAACATTATTTTTGTTCTAAAGCTTTTACCCCATTTTTCTTTTTTTCTTATTTTATTTTACATTGACAATCCACAGAGGATTATCCAAGAAACAAAATTGTAAGAAAAAAAAGCATGTGTGTGTAGAAGATGGTGTTTTGTTTTCATCAGGTTTGTTTTATTTTATTTGACAACCTGCTTTTTGAAGCTTGGTGCATGTTTTTAATCTTTTGGCATGCTGAGGGAAACATTTTTTTTGAATGGAAGCATTTTAACGCTCTGTCCTGTACAGTCGGCTCAAATAATTCTGGCATATAGTTTAAAATCTATGTGCATCATAAACCCGCCCGTGACCCAAACAGCTGCATTTACACTGTAGTTTCAGGTGTGAGAACTAATCTTAATGAATTTAAAATGTTTTTCTGTATAATACAACAAATGCTACATTTCATTGTCTTTTCTTTCAAAGCCTTTTAAATCTTAAACATGCTTACGTTGCAGGGTGGGGCTTGTGTTTTTATGAGGTAGATGTACATCTAATCAAATGCCAAATAAATTGCACCATGAAGGACGATTCATGCGTCAGTGGGTATGAACACAGCGTCGTCTGAACTCTTGTGTTGAGCCTCATCAATCACGACATTTAGTTTTGGAGATTCCTGCAGGAAAGTCCGCTGCTGCAGGGACAAAATGTCACCGGGGATTAAGGTGGGATGCGGGGAATTCCCCCCCCCTTAAAGGATGGAGGTTGGTGGGACACAATCCAATCCAGGGCAATCAAAAGAGTCAAATAATTTAAAGAAAGCGGATATACAGTGACTCACAAGGCAGCAGGCGGAGCGGAGATAGCGATACCCCGCCGCAGAGCATTGTGGGTGAAGAAAAGAGGCTTTGTTCACACGGGACAAGTAGTGACAGAATCACATAATCTATTCCTGCAAGAAGAGGCGCTGCTCAGTCAGGATGATGATGTTACATCCACTAAGACCTATCACACTCCAACTGGAGGAGAATACCTGGCAACTAAAGCTTCATTTCTATGTGCTTCATGATTCATTATATTTTGAAAGGTACAATCATTTCAGGTTTTATTTTCAAGACACTTGAATAATATCCCTCTTTAATCAACTTTACTAACATATTAAGTATTTATATTAGAAATAAATAGGATTTCCTTTACCTGCATCTTAATCTGGTACACGATACTGGAATCAAATGGGAAACTTACAAAGCTTACAAAATGTTTTTTCACACAGTGATAAGTTTTTTCTATTTAAAAAGAATTATATATTTTAAACTTTTTTAAGATGGAGATATTTACAGTTGGTACATTTCTACCGCCTCCTTATATGAAGCCATAACAGTATATTCTCATTTGAATAAATCAAAGGAAGAAAATCAAACATTTATAAGATGTAATCTCACACACCGCTAGGAGCTTTCTTTCTCTTAACTAAATGTTTCCTAATAACTGTTTCTTTTGAGTTTACAGTTGGTACATTTCTACAGCCTCTTTCAATATATTCTCTCTTATGGTGCTGGACAATACTAGAATCAAAAAGGGAAACTTAAAAATGTATAACATTTGATTTGAAACAGTGATGGGAGGATTTCTTTCTTATAAAACGTAAATGTTTATTTATTTGTTTACGTATTGAGAGAGATACAGCTCATGTATCTCTACAGCCTCCTTATATGGCGCTGTGTATAATTCAGCTGACTTTCCCATGCGATGAATGGCTCTTGTTACTGGTCACTGGGCATCTATGCTGGCAGCAGTGGGGGGGGTGTGGTCCGGGGGGTGAAGCTGTGCTGCATCAATGAGCCTGTTGATCAGAAAAGACCACTAGACTGGTAATGACACGCTTCACTGATCACACCAGCACAAAAATCAAACTCAGCTTTTCACCTCCTACTTAAGCAGGACGCGGCTCTGATCCTCAGCCTACTCAGATCAGCACCTGTCCCTCTGAAGTCCTCGGGCTGCGGGTCTTAAAATGGTTTGGACAGCTGCTCTCCTTCTTTATTGTCGTTCCACCTCGTTAACTCAGGTGAGGGTCCTGCTTAAATCTCAGTGACGGACTACACTTATTTAATGTCATTTTAAAAAATCAAAAGAAAAATTACGCTAGTCAACATTTTGCTTTTTGTAATTTCCAGAAGACTACTGCTATGATGAGCCTCAGTGTGGTAAGTAACCTTTTTTCTTTTTTTTCAGACCACAGATGGGATATAATATGCTCTCTTATTCATCTCTCTATCTCATGTTCCCACTTGTTGGTGATAAATGTAGTGTCCAATAGGAGACATTACTCAAATTAGGACAATTTAAGGTTGACCCTTTTTTTTTTTTAATTACCTTTTAGTTGTTCTTATTGGTAACCGCTCAAAAGGCATTGTCTTCTCAAAATCTCGATGAAGTGTTGACAGTTTCCCAAGCTTAAGCTTAATCTCAGTCTTAAACCTTTGAGAAAATATATTTAAAAAAAAAATGTAATCTTGTATCTGCTAAGGATGATCATGTGATTTGATAAAAAGCTCCAGAACAAGAATGAACTTTCAGATTCATTACTGATCGTCTTTCCTCACATAAATCCTCTAGATGTCCACTTGGAGACCACTAATGTATCTAAAAGATCTTCTGTTCGATCTCTCATGTCTGTATTCCGTTCGTATGTGCCTTCTTCACCATCCCAGATCCTTATGCATGGGGAGACATGTACCCGTCGTGTCACCCTTTGCTTGAAGAGCTCCACTCTCCCATTAACCTGGACCACCAGATGACCAGAAACCAGTCTCTGGAGTATCTACATCTGGAGGGCTTCGATGAGATCCAAACGGGCCACTGGACACTTAAAAACGATGGACACTCTGGTAAATGTCATATTATGGCTTGAAAATATATCAATATTATATTATTATTTTGATATGAGACTAGATATTGTTTTAGATTCTGTAATTCTGTAAGTGTAGTCTTTTGCTGCATTACTGTAAAGACTGTTTCAGTTCTTCAGTTATTTGTGTTTACCTGCTTTAATCATTAAATCAACATTACTGCTGGTCATTAATCAAAAATCTAAATGTGTAAATATTTTGTGAAAGCATCAAGGGTTAAACTCGCAATATCAATAGATTTAATTGGTGAAAAATAATGTCATATTTCATTTTCCTCATATTGCCCTTCCCTGAACACACCACACATCCTCTCCAGATTTAACCATGTGTATATATTCATTTGGTGATGTTTCTGGTTGCTCTCAGTGGTGATGGAGGTTGGCAGTGGCATGTCAGTGAGCGGTGGAGGTCTTCCAGATGTGTACCACACCGTCCAGCTGCACTTCCACTGGGGGGGCCCGGCCTCCAACGGATCGGAGCACACGGTGGACGGACGCAGATACCCGATGGAGGTACAGTACGGTCAGTAGACGAGCTCTACACCGTCACAAAACAACTGTTGCTGTGCAGCCTTTCCTTAATGTCTTGTTGTTGTTGTTTTTTACTTTAGATGCACATAGTCAACATGAAGTCCATCCATCCCAATCTGACGGTGGCATTAGACGATCCAACAGGACTCGCTGTGCTTGGATTCTTCATTGATGTGAGTTTAATACACTTGTTGTGATTAGTAAAGTTTCTGACCATTACAGCTACTGAAATATAACATGTCATTTAATTAAAATTACTCATCCAAATGTTGTTGAATGCAAAGAAGTTACATCCAGACAAACCTAAATGTAGAATATATAAAATATTGTTTTACTCTGTTAAAATCTTAATTCATGTTATATTTAAGAACCTTTTACGAAAGTTTGTCATCAGTCTTGTGTACAGCTTTAACGTTTACACTGCCTGTTTTTGAATATAACCCAGTTAACAGCATTTGTTAAAAATAATTGGATGCCATAAGTTTCAATTAATCAACATAATAATTAGACATTAAACATAATAATTACATTAGACAATTTTATTTGACTATATTTGGGGTAACTAATATCTGTCTGTTGGGGTAACTAATATCTGTCTGTTGGGGTAACTAATATCTGTCTGTTGGGGTAACTAATATCTGTCCCAACATTGTTTTTTTGTACGTACACTACACACATCCTGATTTGTCTTCCCTTTCTTGCAGGTTGTCTATGCAGACAATGTGCACTTTGGACTCATATCACAAAAGCTGTCGTCTGTCGCTTACAAAGGTCAGAGGTCACTTTAGAAAACCCTCTCCAGCCTGCTGTTTGTGTTGTTTATAACTCGTGTTCTCATCACATCTTTGCATCCTCCCCGAAGGCCAGACGACTAAAATCAAGCCGTTCCCGCTGATGAACCTGCTGCCGAAGCACAACATGAGTCAGTATTACCGTTACTATGGCAGCCTCACCACCCCCCCCTGCTCTCAGGTGGTGGTGTGGACTCTGTATGAAGTCCCCGTCTACATCTCATGGTCCCAAGTAGGTCTCTTGAGTCTTCTTCTGAAAAACAAACATCTAAATGGTTTCCTGAGTGCTGTAAGTTATCCTTTATCCTTCCTCCTCAGCTGGCTCAGTTTACCTCACAGATCTTCTCCACAGAGGAGGATGCAGAGCAGGTGACGCCTCTGCAGAGAAACTTCAGACACATCCACTCCACCTTCGGACGCAAAGTGTCCGTGTCCAAAGATGCCAAACTCCTCGCGGGGACGGCCGGGCTTCCCCTCAGCTCAGCTTTGTCTCTGCTTCAAATCATTTTGCTGGGAAGCTTCATCATCTCTGGACTCTAACGCAACTTAAGGGGATTCATATTTTTGCCACTCATTTTAGATGATGTTTAGATGAAGTCTAGCAAAGATTATATATTTTAAAACACTGTGAAAAAAGTACTGTAAATGTTGATTTGTTACTAAATGTATTATGATTGTGCCCTCTCGTCTCTGCAGGGTTAGTGCATTCAGAAATGTGAAAATGTTTTGTTACTAACTTGTTCAAAATAATGTGAACTGAGGATTGAGTTGTGATGTAATGTAGCTTGAAAAAGCTTGAAAAAGATGCAATATACGTGATTATAACAATATAAGTGTTAACAGTAAAAGAAAAATAGATGTATTTAGTCAAATAGAATAGTAAGATACAACACTAAGAGTCTATGTCCAGCATGCTAGTTAATGTATAGCATGCTAACATTTGCTTATTCGCACTTCACACAAAGTGCAGCTGTGGCGCATAGGAAGGTTATTATTTTTTCAAATATCATAAAACAAAGGAAAACATTTTAAAAAATCAATTAAAAAGTTGACCTGGTGCTAAATGAAAAGTCTAATATTTAAATGAAAAACAAAAAAGTCAACCTCATGGTGGAGCTAGCATGGCAAAAAGAAAAAAAGGGAAATAAGCGGTAATCATAAAGATGTGTTTTAAAGGATCTTTCTGTTGTGTTGGCTGGAGGTATTTTCAGAATAGCCCTAGTGTATGCAAAGTTCACTTACTGCAGCAAGCGTCTTCTAAAATCCATCTATTTCCCTGACAGTCATTACAGGAAAACCACAGGTGTAATTATTAAAACAATAAGTGGTGAAATCCATTCAGCTTTACGTGTTGTATTTTACATGCTAAATCACTTATACCCACAATCCAGTGGAGCAGAACCATTTGTAATGTCATCAGTAACACCTGTGCTCTGTTGAAGAACACCAAGCTCATTAAGTAATGTGAAGCTAATGCTAATGAGCTGCAACTCCTGCATTCGCCATGCAAAATCTTCTGTGTGTGTGTGCAGCATTTGCATATTTGGATCGACCAGCATCAGTGTAAACCAGCATCATGTAGACAAGGAGATCAGGAATGCAAGAAAAATAATAAGATAGTCGACAGTCTTTTCATATAATGTTTAATGTATTGAAACAATAAACATACTATTCTGTGTCCCATGTGTTGTTGTCTTTGATTAATGAAAGACATTTGCTTTCTTTCTCTGCATTGTTTCCTGTTCTGTGAGACGATGACTATTATGCAGAGGCTTCAGTGATTTGTAAATCTGTGGCTGAGGTGAGTCAGCATCAACATGAGATGTTAAAATGACACAAACCCAGTAGGAATACAGTTTATACTAGTGAAAAAGAAGTAAGGACCTAAAGGAAAGCTGATGAATCTGAATGTTTCTCTTATAAACATCAAAACAGTGCCGGAATAATACAAAACAAACATGACATCTTCAGTTGAAAATAAATAAAATAACACAGCTGGAGAGATAATGGCTGACCAATCAGGTCACTTGCTCTGGAGGCTAGTGGTCAACATCCTCCGACTGTCATGGCCAAGAGGTGGCACGCACGCACGCACACACGCACGCACACACACACAACACTGTAAGCCTTTCTCTGATCTATGTTTATGTGAGTCCTATGATAAGCAAAGGTGACGTCAGGATGCAGATTTTCACAAAAACAAACACAGCAGGAAACAAATGCTCTAATTTCTGCATTGTTTTGGGTATTTTCCCCTAAAGCCTTCCCTCTCTACATAAAAAAAAAAAATCTTTCATTAAGTGGCTTCCATAATAAATATTAAAATATATTGGGTACCACTTCTAAGTTTTATTTAGTGGAGAAATGTCCCACTATTGTGTCTGTTGTGGCTTGGGTGATATGTTCCTGTATGAGTATTTGCACACACTAGCTATGTGTGTGAGTGTTTGTGAATCAATGAATCACATGATTAGCTGGTCGATCTAACCAGACACAGACTCATTGTTTTCTCAGCTGCTTCTTAGTGTTTACATTCAGGGCTTCAATTGGGTTTATCTTTGTGGGTGGTTTCTGTGTCGAACTTTTCAAATATCCAAAGCGTTCAATTACTTCTTAAAGTACCAGAACAATTCTACATATATTTAGCATTTCAACGGTAAATGCACAAACCTAGTGCACTTTGTGATCGACATTAAGAGGTTAGAATACGAGGATACACATGATGTTTTATATGAATAATGATAACCCAGCAAAAAGCAGACACCTATGAAGCCAATAAACGAAACAGGCTCTTTGATTCAAGAAAGGTAGAGGTGTTGGCATACACATTGACGGGTCGCCAAGTCTAAACAATATACAAAACTATTCCTAGTCCTTTTTTGACAAACTATAATATACATTTTTTTAATATCCTATACTATGCCTTTTATACATTTTTCGACTCACTCTATTCGATTTATTTAAGACAGTTTATACTTTGATTATTTTTCTCCTATAAAACCTGTTCCCATACCGGGAGTCGAACCCGGGCCACCTGGGTGAAAACCAGGAATCCTAACCGCTAGACCATATGGGATATCTTTTGTGTCTTTTTTCACATTTTTCAACACACTATACTGTGACTTTCTTCCAAATGATTGACATACCATACTATTACTTTTTTTCAAATGTTTCGCCACACTATACCATGGTTTTGTTTTCACATTTTTCGACCAACTATACCATGATTTTCTTTTAAATTTCTTACATATATTAGATTTTTTTAGGACATTTTATAGTTTGATTATTTTTCCCCTATAAAACTTGTTCCCATACCGGGAGTAGAAACCGGGCCACCTGGGTGAAAACCAGGAATCCTAACCGCTAGACCATATGGGATATCTTTTGTGCTTTTTCACCATTTGAGTCACACACTATACGATGACTTTTTATTTTAGATTTCGACATATTCTAATATGACTTTTTTTCAAGTTTTTTGACATATTCTACTATGAAGTTTTTTCCAATTCTATAACAGATTATAATATGCCTTTTTTAAATGTTTCGACTCACTCCGTCTAGTCTATTCCATTTATTTAAGACAGTTTATACTTTGATTATTTTTCCCATATAAAACTTGTTCCCATACCGGGAGTCGAACCCGGGCCACCTGGGTGAAAACCAGGAATCCTGACCGCTAGACCATATGGGACTTCTTTAGTGTATTTTTTTCAAATGTTTCAACACACTATACTGTGACTTTTTTTCAAATGTTTCGACACACTATACCATGGTTTTGTTTTCACATTTTTCGACACACTATACCCTGGGTGTTTCTCAATCGCGAGTACGCTTGCTTGGTAGCACATGTCTGCCGAGCATCTTGCTTCAGAAGCGAGTCAAGAATACTTCCTGCCATTCGGAAAACGAAAAGTGGAACACGCTAGCGAGTGTGCAGGTGTGCGTCATATGAGAGGCCCCGCCTTACATCTTCCGCCACAGATTTGGGGAAATTGGTCCGTGCGCAAAGCATTGTGGGATTTTAAGACCGCGGAGTCTACTCATGTGCAGCCTCGATATTTCTCCAAACGGAGTACGCCGGGCTTGGTAGATTTCCAAGTATGCCGGAGATTGGAACAGTACTTCGGCGGCACTCGATGACGTAGTATGCTTGAAGTAGTGGCTCTGAAGCAGCTTTACTCGCGATTGAGAAACACTCCATGACTTTTTATTTGATTTCTTACATATATTACATTTTTTTAATATATTAGACAGTTTATACTTTGATTATTTTTCCCCTATAAAACTTGTTCCCATACCGGGAGTCGAACCCGGGCCACCTGGGTGAAAACCAGGAATCCTAACCGCTAGACCATATGGGACTTCTTTTGTGTATTTTTTCAAATGTTTCGACACACTATACTGTGACTTTTTATCAAATGTTTCAACACACTATACCATGGTTTTGTTTTCACATTTTTCGACACACTATACCATGACTTTTTATTTTATTTCTTACATATATTACATTTTTTTAGGACAGTTTACTTTGATTATTTTTCCCCTATAAAACTTGTTCCCATACCGGGAGTCGAACCCGGGCCGCCTGGGTGAAAACCAGGAATCCTAACCGCTAGACCATATGGGATATCTTTTGTGTCTTTTTTCACATTTTTCGACACACTATACTGTGACTTTCTTCCAAATGATTTTTATACCAAACAATGACTTTTTTTCAAATTTTTCGCTACACTATACCATGGTTTTGTTTTCACATTTTTCAACACACTATACCATGACTTTCTTTTACATTTCTTACATATATTAGATTTTTTTAGGACAGTTTATACTTTGATTATTTTTCCCCTATAAAACTTGTTCCCATACCAGGAGTCGAACCCGGGCCACCTGGGTGAAAACCAGGAATCCTAACCGCTAGACCATATGGGACTTCTTTTGTGTATTTTTTCAAATGTTTCGACACACTATACCATGGTTTTGTTTTCACATTTTTCGACACACTATACCATGACTTTTTATTTGATTTCTTACATGTATTAGATTTTTTTAGGACATTTTATAGTTTGATTATTTTTCCCCTATAAAACTTGTTCCCATACCGGGAGTAGAAACCGGGCCACCTGGGTGAAAACCAGGAATCCTAACCGCTAGACCATATGGGATATCTTTTGTGCTTTTTCCCCATTTGAGTCACACACTATACGATGACTTTTTATTTTAGATTTCGACATATTCTAATATGACTTTTTTTCAAGTTTTTCGACATATTCTACTATGAAGTTTTTTCCAATTCTATAATAGATTGTAATATGCCTTTTTTAAATGTTTCGACTCACTCTAGTCTATTCCATTTATTTAAGACAGATTACACTTTGATTATTTTTCCCATATAAAACTTGTTCCCATACCGGAAGTCGAACCCGGGCCACCTGGGTGAAAACCAGGAATCCTAACCGCTAGACCATATGGGACTTCTTTAGTGTTTTTTTTCAAATGTTTCGACACACTATACTGTGACTTTTTTTCAAATGTTTCGACACACTATACCAGGGGTCGGCAACCTTTCTGATATGAAGTGCCATTAAAAAAAAAAATTGTTATCGGCGTGCCAACGATCGAGAATTATCAACGGGGGGGCGGGGGTTGAGGAACTTGACGCTGGTGAACTATCAACAGGAGGGCGGGGGAGCCTCGCTGCGCGGAAGCAGTGTGTGTGTACCTGTCAGCACAACTTACATGATGCCGAATTTAACAAACACATTTAAATAATTGGTTTAAACGGCATAATAATAAGGACGATCGTCCGTTCTGTGATTCTCCAGAACACACATGTTATGATATTAGGGTCATGCAGAGTGAGATGAGATCGCTATCCCTTTAAGAGAGAGAGAGAGAGGGGTGTGGCGTGTGCATGTGTGTGTGTGGATGGTAGAGCGAGAGTGAGCGAGCGTGTGTTTCTGGAAGTGAAACGAGGCAGCAGAAAAACAGAGGTCTGTGATGTATTTTGTGAAACAGAAGAACAGCTAAATAAATGCAACGGCCTCCCAAGAAGAGCTCGCCTCTCTCCAGTCATTTAAGCTAAAGTGGGTTATTGAACCTGAAGCTTGTTGCTTCTGCCCTCCTCGACTATGGTCTGGGAGCCGACAGGAAAGTTCAACACACAGATGGCCAGTCCGCCCCTTTGTAGCATATTATTTCAATGAGAGATGAGCAGATCGCCACTGGGCTTTCAACTAAAGACACAGCCACGCAAAAACTGCGGTATTTGTACAGCTCCTTATGGGTACTGCAATTTGTGAAGTGCTTTCCTCTGTGGTGAAACGATCAGCACTGCACCACGGAGGAAAGCGGCAGAAAGTCACCTGGAGTTAAAGAGAGCGGGGCTGCGCTACGTGCATGGCTTCCTTCTGCAGGTAACAGGGAGACGCGCTCTGGCGGCGGTCTCGTTCAGGATCCGAAAATACAATTTAAATATTTTGCACACTTATTCCACTTATTCCTAGTGTGCCACTGGTTACGGTGCCGCGTGCCAATGTTGGCACGCGTGCCAGCGGTTGCCGACCCCTGCACTATACCATGGTTTTGTTTTCACATTTTTCGACACACTATACCCTGGGTGTT